TGAGTAGCGGGAATTGTACGTGAGCCACCAGCACTCAACCTGCACGTATTGTACAATACTAATGTCAGTTTGATTACACCAGAACCCCTCCAAATACACAAGGAATTCCTGGCACTAATGGACATGACATCACTAGGCAATAAGAAGGACTATAGGACCTTTACAACATACAGAGTCCACCATGAACAAAACTTGGCTACACAGAGCATGGTTGGTGTCCCTGTTAACCACTGTGTATAGAAATGACAGGTATTCCTTTAGAAAACTACAATAGCTTAAATACAAACTAGAACTAAAGAATTTTCATTTTCTAAAGAATTTCTTTGCTTTTTAAAATTACATTCTGGATTAAAATTAGAAAAAAAACTATTAGAAATTAGGCTGAAATACGTTCAAATGTTTTAGTGAGCTATAACTTTATTTTATGTATTTATTTTATTACACTAGTATTGAGGCTTGAACTCAGGGCCTTGAATTCTCAGTTCTGGCCCTATACCACTTCTGCCACACCTTCACTTCTGGCTTTTTGCTAGTTCATTGTAGATAAGAGGCCTTCAAAATGTATCTTCCCAGATCTGAGGATCTTAGCCAACCTGGGAAGACCTTAACCTCATATCTTCACCTCTAAGTAGCTAGGGTTACAGCTGAAAGTTAGCAGTGCCCAGCTAAGATCTAATCACTTTTATTCTTTCCCTATAAAAATACATATAGAGGTGATATGTAAACCTGGCCCACAGCATGTAAAACTAACTATAAAACCCGAGAGTACTAGCATCTGAGGCATCAATTTTTAACATTTGCAAAATGATCATTTTTCTTTTTTTTTAAAAAAAGCCTTTTTTTCTTGTCTTTGCTTCATGCTCTCATTATACCACAGGGTAGGGCCCTAGAGGTAGAAATCCATTGCAGTTGTCTTACACCACACAAAGTTATCAAGGAAAGTGGGAGGGAATCTGAGAGTAACAGCTCTTGGCGTATTCTTGGCATTGTGATTTTGCACTCACCACTGTGCCCAGCCCACTCCTTTTGAATCAGTGCTTCTCCCACAGTTATTCCTACAGCTCTGCTGAATAATCCTCAACCTCCCTGCCTGGCAATACAACAAAGCCCAGAAGCAAGAAGGAACCCCACTTACAGGCAGGTCTGACAATGATGTAATTAGCAGATCTAGGAGAAACAGAATTGCAGAAAGCCACATAGAGCAAGACTCAGGCTGACTTCTCAGGTTCCAATATTACTAGGAAAACTATAGTCAACTAACGTATAAAATCAGATTTTTTTTTCCCTCCAAGTGAAGAAAAGCATATGTAAATATGCTTTAAAATATGCTAAAAAAGCTGAAAGCTTCACATGGCAAATTTAACTAGACACAATTTTTTAAAACTAGTTTGGAAGAGGATTCTCCACCTTCCCACACTGGGTGAGATTCAGGATGGGTATTTTTATATGCCTTCGCCAAATGAGATTTTATAACAGGAATCCATATGCAGGAAACAAAGTCAACCCACAAAGAACCAACTGCCACACATGTTAGCTGGTAGAGTATTAAAAGAGGTGAAACCCGGGCCTACTTATGGGCTGAGGAGATAGGTTGTCAACAGAGGATTTCATATAATCCTCTACAGGAGGATATATCCGTGGATAGATGGTTTCAGCCACAAGTCCATCAAACAGAAGGGTGAGTTATCTTATTCTATCTTCCCAAGAAAACCAAAGGGCAAATTGGCCAAGGGAACAGCCTCAAACTCATGACTTCAAAGGAACAGCTTTCAAAATATGTCCTTGATCACTATTACAAGCTACGGAATCAGAACTATCTCCAGCTATGAATAGGGGACATGTATTTCATTTAAGCCATGTATCCAGTTCAAGAATGGATCCGACCGTGAGGAATTCCTCCTTCCATATTGCAGAAGTGCAGGCACTTTCTCCCATCTGCAATGTATTGTAATGTATCTGCTATCCATTCTTAAGAACTGCCAGGAGAGGATGTGATGGGTTTAGAAATTACTCATTAATCAAGTAACTAGCAAATGCCAAAATAAATAAAGCAAAATTAAAACACTTAAAATAATGTAACAGAGCTAGAGAAGTTGCTCAGTGGTAAGAACCCCTGCCTAGAATACCTGCCGCTGGGCTTGATCCTTCACACTGCAAAATAAAAATAACTCATATGCTGTTACTCCAAAACCAAATAAAAACACGCGATTGCAATGAGACACATTAGTCATTTTCCCATTCTCACGAAACAATGTGAATTTCAATTCACAACCCCATCCAAAGTCAATCTCAAAACGATGAGAATTCCTTTACAATCAACTACTTCTTAGATATGTACTTCTATCACTAGTATCCAGCATGGTGCCTTGAAAGAGAATGTCACTCACCAGAAGAGTGGATAAGTTTTCTGCCATACAGAGAGAAGGTATATTCCTACAATCATGATAATCGTGTATCACTAAGGAGCCTCTGTAAATTAAACACAGGAATCCCTGGAAGAAACACCCCTGTACTAAGGAGTGATTGCGTGATCTGTGGGGCTGCTTAGCCCTTTACCACCTCCCAAGTCATCAGATTTGTACAAAGTAGCTTCAGTCCCCAAACAGTTTGGACTTTGCTCTGCCACCAATATCTAGATTCAACACAAATCCTGACCTCTACCCCAAACTGGAAATATCTAACACCACAAAGATCACTCAACAGGGATATAGCACCATGACAAGGCCAGGAAAAACACAGAAACCAGGATTGGAAGCCAACACCTCAGAGAAATGATTCCGATGGGCAAATGTTTCCAAGTATTAAAATACTGTAACAACTTTGCAGGAGGAAATTTGAAATACACTTTCTCTGACTAGAAGGATCCATACTGTTCAAGACAAGAGATGTTCTCCAGGAAGATAAATTTTCTTACTGATTAGATGAAAACTCCTTTTCTTCTGAGAGAAAGAGAGAGAGAGAGAGAGGAGAGAACACTTTATTCTCAGTGCTGTAAAGTTTGGTTACAAAATTCTGGTATATTATCTGAGACTTAAAAACAGATTTATTTTTAAAAAGACATGTCTTGGGGCTGGGAAGGTGGCTCAGTGGTAGAGTGCTTGCATCACATGCATGAGGCCCTGGGTTCGATTCCTCAGCACCACATAAACAGAAAGGGCTGGAAGTGGCACTGTGGCTCAAGTGGTAGAACCCTAACCTTATAGCTGAAAAGTTCAGAGACTGAGCCCAGGCCTAGAGTTCAAGCCCCTCATGACCAACCAAAAAAAAAAAAATGTCTTAAAAACTGACTTAGTTTGGAAACCTGGATGTCTTTAAATTGTCAGTGAACTGAAGCCATTCATGAGAATAGGGCCTTTCAGTGCTGAGAATGTCCTTCGGTGCCCAGCATAGAGATATTTGGCATGGGTGACTGTAAATATTTGTAAAAGCCTGGGTAAATGGACGGGGTTTAACCACAGTCGGATCTTCCTTCCAACACAGTAGTAGAGAAGCAAGTTATCTAAGGTGATTGGGATTTTTTTTCTCTCTCTCTGTTTGTTTTAAATAAAAAGCCAAGCAACCCAAGTCTACTACTTTACATCTTTTTCACATTTGCTACCCCTGTTTAACCTTGTACTGTTTTACCCATCAGAGAAATTGGAGGTTGGTTTTGAAATTGGCATTTTTTTTCCTTCCCATTTTTCTTGATGTCTGCCACAAAGAGTAAAATACCTGCCACAGGTGCCTGAGGCCAGGGCAGGAGCTAAGTGAAATCATAGCTGCCGATTTCATAATATGCAACTCTCTCCAAGTGGCTTCATGGTCCTGCTATGGATTTCTTTCTTTTTCTCTCTTTTGCCTCCTCAAGAAAGCTTCAAAAATACTTCAGTGACTGCTAACCCATGAAAGAACTAAGGTAAAGAAGGAAAGGCAGCTTGAATGGAAACAGAGGAGCAAGTAACATGTTCAAGGAACCGAAGCCCAAGAGGCTGACTTCAGTAAAAAGCTGCAACAGAAACTTTAATTAGCCAGCAACTCGCTTAAGACTGGCTGAGTTCCTCTCATCCACACCCTAAAAACTGAGTCATCCCAAAGTTCATTTATTTTGCTTCTGGGCAGAGACACCCCCTTAATCTGCTGCATAAGAAATGTTAAAAGACGTTATCTTTTCATGGGAATCTCTTCTCTGTTCAAATAAACAGCCAGAAATGTGAAATCAGAAGGACACTGACATTCCTACTTGGGTCTCTAGCTCACGTTTCGATAAGATAGATACCTGGCTGGAAAGCAAGAAGAAATGGACAATTTACCAGAGGAAATATGAAGAAAGAGAACTCAGAATTCATTCTGCGAAATGAAGTACCTGCATGAGAAATATATTTAGAGCAGAATCTCTGAAGCAAATAGGAAAAGTGAAAGGTGCACTCTGGAAGGGGCAAGCAAAAAACGAACATGACCCCTCTGACACAGGACTTAGCTTCATTTTGACTCAAACCTGAGAATAGGGTCACTCTCCTTTATCAGTAATGAAAAGATAAAACCACCTCCATACCCTAAGACGGAGATTCCATGGGTAATGAAGCATCTTATTCATATGTCTGTCAACATATTTGCCTATGCATTTCTAAAGAACAGGATACGGTAGACATCCAAGATTATGGCAAGCTTGGGTCTCCCCTTAAAGGTGTAAAAAACCAGGTTTGGGTTTAATCATCAGTATTACTATACATACTGTCAAGGCTATTTTATTAGAACTGAAACTAATTTCGTCTTACAAAGGCTTCTATTGCTTTTTTTTTTAAGTTAACAGGTGTTTAAGGCATTCTGCACGCATGCAAATGCTGTACGCCTTAAGGACTGAATACAGAAAGAAAATAAAGCCTAAACCGTTGGTTTTTGTCACAGCTAGTCTTAGATCTGACATCCTATTCTAGGCTCTAAGGCTAACACCATTCCTGGTTTGCATAGTCTGCAGCCTGCTTAAAAAAAACCCCAAAAACCATAAAGCTCACTCAACCTACCTGGCAGAGAATTGTGATCGTGTGGCGGCTCTCCGCAGCCTGTCTGGGGCGCACGGCAGCCAGGGCTGCTCACACGCCCGGGAGGAGGAGCTCTTTCATTCTGTCCCCTTTCCCTCGGTGCTCTGCGCCTGACAGCTTTACACTTCGCAGGATTGCCACAGGACTCCACGCCCAGACCTATCGGTGGAGAAGAGGAGGAGTCCCTAACCCGCCTCCTGCTCTTGATGGGCAGCTGCGCCTCCCCAGGAACCTTGCAGAGCCGAATGAAGAACGAGTGGAGGGCACAGCTCACCAGCCAGCAACAACACAACAGCAGCAGCAGCAGCAGCAGCAGCAGCAGCAGCAGCAGCAGCGCTAGGAGCCCTGCGTTTATTTATACAGGAAGCTCAGGCGCCTCACTTCCTACCTTAACCCTATGGCATCCAGCCGCCAGCTCACCCAGGGCGGTCCAGGGCTCCCACTGGCCAGCTCCTGGTCAGAACCTCTGGCTTGTTTCTCCTAGGCCAATTACTGAAGGAACCCGGGGCGGCGTGTCCAGCTCAGACCTGCTGCCCAGACCTGCACCCTTCACCTCCTGGGCCTTCCATGCTTACTGCTTCATGTACATATCTTTACAGGCCAACCTTTCTTCTTCCTTCCTTCCTTTAAAGAGCTCTTTAGATCTCTTTCTTCTAATAACAGGCCAGACCCTGCCTTCCTATCTCACCAGAAAACTGTCTTGGTGGCAAGTTTTCTCATGTACATCATGTCCTTTCTCGTGTAACGATAAAGTTACAAGGTAGGCAAATCAAGTCAGGAACCGTCTCAAAAACCACAGGCTCTCGTCTTTGTAAAACAATGTTTGTTTTTTTTTTAAAATCATACCTTTCAAATGCTTGGTCAATAAATTATGTGGAAAACACTTGGTAATTTAGTGGTATCCTCAGTTAAAGGAAGTCTAAGAGAATAATCCATTCGTTGTGGGATCCTGTCCCTTGTCTTCCTTATTCCAAAACTTTCTGACACTTGATTTTGTGTGATGTTTGCAATGGATGATCAAACGAAATCAAGTGTCGGAAAGGTTTTTGTTTACACTGGATGATCTACCCCTTCTCACCTTTACCACCCCCTAGGCCACAGTTCCAGCTTCAAATTCGTTGAACTTTTTCCATGTTCACTTTTGCAATCACAGTCAGGAATGTGCTTCCTAAAAGGAAGTACAAATCATTTGCAGAACAGATATGCGAGGGTATGTGGTAAAGTAGCTACAGTGGGCACCCATCCAAAAGACACAAGCAATCTGCTTCTCAGCTCATGTCAAAGACAATCTCTAGGTCAAGGCCAAGGGCTGAAGAACACAGTGAATCTAAGAGAGCGTTGCTGGGACAGGCAGAAGTACCAGCCTCCTGGGAGGCAGAGGAATTCAGAGGAGATAAGACTGAGAATGGACGCAAAGTAATCGAATAAAATGATATGTGAATTTGTAACATGTATGTCAGTCCAAACCCCTAATTATGAAGCTGAGGAAACTAATGTCTGTAGAGATTTAAGCAGCCGGCTCAAACCAGACCAGAGCATTCTAGGCTGGAAAGAGACCTTAAAATGCAGCTACAAGGCAAAGAGACATGTGAATAAAAATCTACCTTCAGTCAGCATGGGCTACAGATCCCCAACTAACCTGGCTCAATATAGTAACACTTCGTTGAAGGAAAGATAAACAAAGGGACTTCTACAAGGCTTGTTTACTCATTGGTGTTGATGCAAATCTTCTGAGCCTTAAACCAAAGTTCAACCCAAAAGTCCACTTTTTAAATTACCATGCAATTAAGTTCCTATCTCTTATCAGCAGGATAAGGGAAGAATCTGCTGCCAAGAATGAATGAAAGCACAGGTTAGGCAATAATCACACTGCCTGCTGTCATAAATATTTTTTATAATTAAATAACATCATCATGGGTTATTTACAACTGTGCAGATTTTAAAAGATTACAGCCAAAATTTAGTAAGATTAAATAAATATGTGGAAGGCCATAGTGTTGTGCAAACAAAGATCTGCCTAAGGAGTCTATTGTCAGGATAAACATTTATCCCCTCAAGCCTTTATTAATAGCTCAGATAAACTGCAAGGTATAAAGAGGAGAAAGAGAAATTATACACAGTCCCTTTCTACCAAGACTACTCAGTCCAGATTAAGAGTCAAACAATCTGTTAGTAAGGTATCCCAATGAGTCATATGATAGATAGGCATAGCATGAAATAAAGCACAGAGAATAATTTTACTAGAGGACAGCAGTTGATCAATCTACAAAGGTTTCCTTACGATCGTGATGTAAATCTGGGTCTTCAAGTAGCTGAGGTGAACTCTAACAGAGCAGAGTCACACCAAGGACAAAGGCTTAGACACGAAATTTTAAGAAAAGCTTTTTATAAATTAGAGCCAATGCATTCAGAATACAAGAATGAAGACTTGAACTAGCGCAGTAACAGTTTGGGCAAGGAAAGGGACAAATGGAGATTTCAGAAACAGAATGGATGGGATGTAGTATCTAATTGGTATCTAATAAGAAAGAAGAGCCCAAGCTTGCTGTTGCCTCAGTGGGAACTGAAGACAGGCTATGATCAGGAAAACCATTAATCATGGAGAATCTCATGTTCCTCTACAAGTACAGGAAGAATTATTTAGTGGCTATCGAGAGAGAGAAATGTCTGGGGGATACTCTGGGACTCAAAACATTACTAAAGGGGCTGGGAAGTGGCTCCGTGGTAGAGTGCTTGCCTCACATGCATGAGGCTCTGGGTTCAATTCCTCAGCACCACATAAGCAAGCAGTGTGGCCCAAGTGGTAGCGCACTAGCTTTGAGCTGAAGAGCTGAGGGACAGCGCCCAGGCCCACCCAGAGTTCAGGCCCCATGACAGACAAAAAAATGATAATAAAAATTAAAAAATTACTAAACTCTGTCTGACAAGGGCCTGCAAAGAGGAAATGCATGCATACCCAATAGTTGGACTCCAACTATTTAATATATAAGGAAAGAATATTTGCAAATTGGGGCAAGAATTTCTAATACAGTTTGCATGAAAGGAGCCGTTTTGTACAGTTTTCTCCATGGATTTCTTTATTTACATTCTGACATAAATACATAGTCGCCAAAACCCTTATTTGCATTTTTCACTAAAAGTCACTTCTGTGATCTTGCTTGGCGCCGGATAGGAAAGTAGGAGTTGATTACAAAGGTAACCACCTAAGTTATAGAGGGATAGAATTCATCTAAAGCTGGATTCTGGTGGTGGTTGCACAAATGGATAAATTTACTAAAAAGCTACTAAATAGCATACCTAAAATGAAGACAGGATATGACCAGGAAAACCATGATGCGTTAACTTCAATCATGGAGAATCTCATGTTCCTCTACATGTACAGGAAGAATTATTTAGTGGTATGTAAATCCTACCTTGTTATTGGTGTTAAAAATAAACAGCTAAAAATAAAAATTTCCAAGTGTGGTGTCATATATCTACAAACCCATAGACTGAGACAGTATGGGATTTTAAGTTTCAAGCTAGCCTGGTCTTTATAGTAAGATTTTGTCTCAATAAAGTAGAAATTAAAAAAAAAGTTAAATATAAAAATACTTTTGATTCTAAACTTTTAAATCAAATGTACAAGAGAAAGTCACAACCATATTAAGTATTTAAGCTTCAGGAGAATGATTTTTCTAAAAGTTATGCCTGCTTCCATAAATTAGATGAAAATAAATGTGTGTGTGTGTGTGTGTGTGTGTGTGTGTGTGTGTGTGTGTGTGTGTGTGTGTTACTGGGGACTGAACCCAGGGCCTCCAACCCTTTGGTTTATTTTTTGTTTTTAAGATGGGATGGAGGACCCTGGCCCCAGTGGCTCACGCCTGTAATGCTACCTACTCAGGAGGCTGAGATCTCAGGATCTGCGGTTCAAAGCCAGCCCAGGCAGGAAAGTCTGTGAAAACCAGAAGTGGTGCTGTGGCTCAAGTGATAGAGCACTTGCTTTGAGCTGAAGAGCTCAGGGATAGTGCCCAGGCCCAGAGTTCAAGACCCACAACCGACCAAAAAAAAAAAAAAAAAGATGGAGAGGAGGGCTTTTACTAACTTTGTCTGCAGATATGTACCACCATGTCCAGTGGAAATAAACTTTTCACGTAACAACCAAATTTCTACATGAAGCATTTGGTGATATTAATATAAAACTCACACAAAATGGTGCAAATTCCTCTTCTGTTAAATGCGGCCAACTCCTGTAAGAGCTATTACTTCACTTTTCATATATATTCATAACAGAAAACTTAATACTGAAAATGGGTGAAACAGATCTAGAAAAATCACTTGATCTAAATGAAAAGTTACACTTCCCAGAATGCAACTTAATGACATCTCCTGCAGCCACATGAGTTTAAAAAAAATATCATTGACTTTGGGCAAAATATTCTTAAAATAGTCATAAGCTTTTGCAGCAGACACTGATACTGCTCCAGCAACTTTTCGAATTATGCATTCATCACCGCCTTCATGGATAAATAGATACCCGGTACTTAATTTCTCATTTAGGTAGTAACTTTTTAGCTCATTTTCTGCCAAAAGGGATTATTCCAAAATAATTTGGAAGTTATGAGCTAATAAGTAAGTAGTTAGAAATTCCAACCATACAAGACTTCCCACATTTCCAATTGACCTCACCAAGAGTAAGTCTAGCAGCTCCCAACCACTATGTGGAATGGAATAAGTTGGCGGCTGTTAATCAGCAAGGTAGGAATATTTTCCATGTTAGCCACACGTGCCTTATGTGTTCTTCTTAAGGAGAAGGTGTTTTATATAACTAATACATGCTAATAAAAATAAAGAAAAAAGAGAAAAGTTAAACAGAGGTATAATCTCACTTGCATTTGGGAAGAATTGGAGTAAAGGTGGTATAAAAATACTCATCTTCTTTTAAAGTTATGTATGTAGCATGTGATGAAGAAGGCAATACCAAACCTGATACATGAAGCAGAGGAAAACCATCTATCTTCTTTTAACTACATTTCTAATAAAAGTAGTTTCTTAAAATTACAAAATTAGCTGGGAACCTGTGGCTCACACCTGTAATCCTAGCTACTCAGTAGGGCTGAGATCTAAGGATAATGGTTCTAAGCTAGCTTAGGCTGAAAGTAGAGCTGTGGGTTGAGTGGTAGAGCCTTGAGCAAAAGAAGCTCAGAGACCGTGCCCAGACCTGAGTTTAAGCACCAGAATTGGCCCACAAAAAATAAAATAAAATAAAAGTTCAGGGACAGTGCCCAGGCTCTGAGCTTTAAAAAACTGTTTTTTACTTAATTTTTTTTAAACAGTGCAAGTTGGCTCTGATGGCT